TATTTTAATCAAAAAATGTCCCGACAGATTAAATTGATAGATATTTCGAGAAAATACAATTTAATTTCAGTGTATTTTATTATAATTAACTTCTTTCAAGCTGAGAGACTTTTCCAAACGTCCACTAAAAATACCTAATTCCTTAAATGATTGGAAAATCTGCCTTTTGTCATGTACTACGTTCAATAGGCCTGTATATAACACAAAAACTTAAACAATCCATAAAAAACTGATCTAAACACCAAAAAACAGTAACTTCTAATTTCATCTGGTTTCAGATTAAATTGCTATTCTCAAACTGATGCCAAAAAGAAAACAGAAAAGTGACAATGTCGTCTATTGTCGCAAATATCGTCAGAAAATTCAATTAAAACGTTTGCAATCTACAAACTTTGATAAGAAGTTTAGAAAAAAAGGAAGCATCGAGAAAAACTGTCTATCGAGCAAAAAGAAAACAACAAGAAACAGTACCATCAGCATCAACAACTACGATATCAAGAAACGATCTTAGAAAGATTGAAGGGCTTCAACGTCGACGTCAAAATACTGCAAAACTAAAACTCGAGAAAGATCAATTGCAAAATTTAAATAAACAATTACAAAAAGAAAATAGGAAATTAAAAGAGCAGCTAGCCTCCTTGAGATTATCATTATCATCATCATCATCATCACCACAATAAACAACCACAAATAGTGCCGCAACCATTTCACCATCCAAACTTTTTTTTTCAAAACGTTAGTCCAAATGCTAAACGTCGCGCCACAGCACGTATGGCAATACGAAAACAGGATTTACCACGTGGCAGTATAGAAAGTATTCGGAACAAATTTGGTATAAATGTATGTTGTTAATTATTTGATTATCTTGCGTCATCGAAAATTGTTTTTTTTTAGTTATCAAATCAAAATTTACCATCAACAAGAACGACAACAATATCAAGGGAACTTGCTGATACTATTGACCAATTTCTTAATGATGATGAAATCACACGAATGTCACCGAATAGGTGTCGACGGTAAACAAGTACGATTCCTGTTAAATCATTTAATTAATATTCATCAAAAGTTTATCATGGAATGTTCATATTCTACTTTTACACGACATATTCCATCTTATATTATTTCACCAAAACCCAGTGATTGGGGCACTTGTTTATGTATGACATGTTTAAATCCACAACTAAAATCTGAAAGAATTAATCAATTGAAAAATGTAAATCCTCTTTTGAATTATTTATCATCGTTGTTGACAAATGATTTAACATCAATTATTAATGATGAAAAAACAGTGAATGAAATTTTAGAAGAATTACATAGACTGAAAGTAAAAACGTTCATGATCACCTATGTGGAATGGATTAAAAGGAAAAGTGAAAGAAGTAGTGGCCTCATTTCTACGAAAACAACCATTACAGATAAAATAGAAATATTTTGTAAAGTTTTCTGAAGAAATAACTGTAAGTATTTCACAGAAAGGTCGAACAGAGACAACATTCATCGTTGTTGTTGATTATTTAATATTTAGAAACTTCAAAACCATATGGAATATGTTCATGCTCAATTCAAAGGTGCAAAATTTTTTCGACAATCAGCATTAACAAATAACAATGTTGTAACGTTGCAAATCGATTGGTCAGAAAATTATCATTTAAAACAAGTGCGAGAAGAACGCTGTGAGTTCCTTTAAAAAATCTAATCCATACTGTCTGAAATCATCTGAAAATTTTCCACTTTTCAGCAGCATACTATCATGAACAACAAATCTCAGTAGCGGCGGGCTATGTGTGGCAAAAAGATAATTGTTTTAGCTTCGGATGTTTATCCGATGAAACGAGTCATTTATCTGAATGAACGTGGGCAGCGATTCGTGAATTATTGGACAAACTGTTAGGTGGTAAAGCTGCCAAACATGTTATCGAATTGAATATAGTCTCCGATTCTCCATCCAGTCAATACAGAAATAAAACTACAATTTACTTTTTAAAGAATTTTGCCACCAGTAAAAGAAATTACATTCAGATGGTTGTTTCTCGAGAGAGGCCACGGCAAAGGTGTAGCCGATGCTGTCGGTTCTGCTATAAAACGTTTATTTGATAATCAAATTCGATTAAATCCAGATGAATCATTTAGCGATGCTTTAGATTTGATGCACAAAATAAAGAATTCTACAAACATTCGACTTTACTTATACAAAAAGGAAGATATAGATTCATTGAAAGCACAAATTCCATGACTAAAAGTCATTAAAGGAACGTATATGTTTCATGAAATTATTGCCAAACCAAATGGACAAATATTTGTGAAAAACAAATCAGATGAAAATGAAACTTTGATACGAACAAATTTTTAGATTTTAAATTTGTGATAAATAGTGATCGACAGTTGAGCATGTTTTCCTATACACATGAACTGTTTGAACTAATTTAGGTACTATTATATTGTGAACCCTTTTCTATTTCTGAAATAAATATAAATATTGTTGATGATTCTGTGTCCTCATTATTATCGCAAAAGACTATTGAAAATAACTCGTTTACATAGTTCGTTCTTCGAAAACAACCTGGCAGTCGGGAAAATTTTTGAATTATATACAATTGATAGAGCTGTATCGAATGCATGATTCAAATGTTATTTATATCCACTTTTTTTTTCGATTTTTTTCTTCCAACCGTACAATACGAGCGCAACTCACTCATATACATATACACATATATATGTTTTGTTGCCATTTCGTTTGTCCTTCTCAAAGAGTGAAAACGAACCGAACCGAACTCAAACCATATCTTAAAAAAAGCATGTCGAATCGAATCGAAGTAATATTTAAAAAACGAGTGAATATAAGCAAGCGTAGAAAAAATCTAATTGATTGACCTATCATCTATTTCTTAAAAATACAACTGTTTGCAAAAAGCTTGGACAAAATTAAATTTTTTTTGTACCGTGTTTCTTATCGTTACAAACAATTACTAAATTCATTTTTCTAGGGATGAATCATTGATAGCCATACTACATATTGACTATTACAGAAGTGTGCTTTCCTTTCTTTTCGATACTTATATATTTAATCATGACACCAACTACTGATTAAAAAAAGTCATCATATTTTAATATTATATTTTTGGAACAAAGGAATTCGATCTGCTCGTGTTATTCATCGTGAAACGTATTCCACTAAGAACTATCTATTACAATATCAACAAATTGAAACAAACAAATTCACTTAAACAGCGAGGTGAAAATGGTCGACCACATGTTCCTAGTGGAATAGGATACAAAAGCTATTGGTCAATATATTCGATATAACAATGAGATAACCATTAATGAAATCAAAGAAAAGTTATCGAGGACGCACCACAAAACAGTATCTACATCAACCAACAATAAACATTTTTGTCGAAATTGACATTTACAACAGGACAACAATCCAAAACATACTAGTAATATTTGTCAACAGTTCATCAACAAAAANAAATCCACAACTAAAATCTGAAAGAATTAATCAATTGAAAAATGTAAATCCTCTTTTGAATTATTTATCATCGTTGTTGACAAATGATTTAACATCAATTATTAATGATGAAAAAACAGTGAATGAAATTTTAGAAGAATTACATAGACTGAAAGCAGAAACGTTCATGATCACCTATGTGGAATGGATTAAAAGGAAAAGTGAAAGAAGTAGTGGCCTCATTTCTACGAAAACAACCATTACAGATAACATAGAAATATTTTGTACAAAGTTTTCTGAAGAGGTAACTGCAAGTATTTCACAGAAAGGTCGAACGGAGACAACATTCATCGTTGTTGTTGATTATTCAATATCTAGAAACTTCAAAACCATATGGAATATGTTCATGCTCAATTCAAAGGTGCAAAATTTTTTTGACAATCAGCATTAACAAATGACAATGTTGTAACGTTGCAAATCGATTGGTCAGAAAATTATCATTTAAAACAAGTGCGAGAAGAACGCTGTGAGTTCCTTGGTCAGAATGTACGTGGGCAGCGATTCGTGAATTATTGGACGAACTGGTAGGTGGTAAAGCTGCCAAACATGTTATCGAATTGAATATAATCTCCGATTCTCAATCCAGTCAATACAGAAATAAAACTACAATTTACTTTTTAAAGAATTTTGCCACCAGTAAAAAAATTACATTCAGATGGTTGTTTTTCGAGGGAGGCCACGGCAAAGGTGTAGCCGATGCTGTCGGTTCTGCTATAAAACGTTTATTTGATAATCAAATTCGATTAAATCCAGTTGAATCATTTAGCGATGCTTTAGATTTGATGCACAAAATAAAGAATTCTACAAACATTCGACTTTACTTATACAAAAAATAAGATATAGATTCATTGAGAGCACAAATTCCATCACTAATAGTCAATAAAGGAACGTCTATGTTTCATGAAATTATTGCCAAACAAAATGGACAAATATTTGTGAAAAACAAATCAGATGAAAATGAAACTTTGATACGAACAAATTTTTAGATTTTAAATTTCTGATAAATAGTGATCGACAGTTGAACATGTTTTCCTATACACATGAACTGTTTTAATTAATTTAGGTACTATTATATTGTGAACCCTTTTCTATTTCTGAAATAAATATAAATATTGTTGATGATTCTGTGTCCTCATTATTATCGCAAAAGACTATTGAAAATAACTCATTTACATAGTTCGTTCTTCGAAAACAACCTGGCAGTCGGGAAAATGTTTGAATTATATACAATTGATAGAGCTGTATCGAATGCATGATTCAAATGTTCTTTATATCCACTTTTATTTTTTTTCGATTTTTTTTCTTCCAACCGTACAATACGAGCGCAATTCACTCATATACGGATACACATATATATGTTTTGTTGTCATTTCGTTTTTCCTGCTCAAAGAGTGAAAACTTACCGAACCGAACTCAAACCATATCTTAAAAAAGCATGTCGAATCGAATCGAAGTAATTTTTAAAAAACGAGTGAATATAAGCAAACGTAGAAAAATCTAATTGATTGACCTATCATCCCCTAGTCGAACATCTTGTAAGCAAGATCTTGAAATCTTGGGACCGATAAGCAAGATCTTAATAAGATCTTGAAAAGATTATTTGTATGTGCATATCTTAGTTGTATCAGATAAATCTGTGCTTAAGATCTTGATAAGATCATGGAAAAGATATCGTTCACTATTA